CCCTTCGGGGTTCTATGCTAATAACGGCCACTAGGTTCGCATATACGCCATCGATATCCTACATGTATCACAAGCAACATCGTACAGTATCCTTCTTATCTTTAACGCTGTTGAAATTCCAGGTCGCATCATTCCAGCCCTGCTTGCAGATCGCTACTTCGGTGCTATTACGGTCCTTATTCCGATCACCTCCCTTGCTGGTTTATGTGTCTATATATGGCACTCGGTACAATCTCTCGTATCTGATATAGTCCGGATTGTTTTTCTTGGATTCTTTGGTGCCGGCATTCAGTGTCTCTTTCCCTCAACTCTCGCTAGTCTGACAAAGGATTTGAGTAAAAGCGGCACCAGAATTGGTATGGTATTTACCATTATCAGCATCCCATGCTTGACCGGACCTCCATTAGCGGGCAAGTTGATTCAGGTCGGGGACGGGAACTATATTTGGGCACAGGTGTGGGGTGGCACATGTTTACTTCTAGGGTGTGGGGTTCTCTTTGCGGCGCGGTTAGAGAGTATGGGGTGGCGGTGGAAGCCTGCTGAGCAATAGTTGTGTCAGAACCAGCTATATATATCCGCGCTCTAAGTTTTCACTCATTTGTGCACATGGTATTCATGTGTACTTGGCTTTATAATTCAGCTTGTGTTGCGTTTTCACCTCGTTTAGAGGAGAGCAACTGATTTGATCAGAGTTGCATCCGCAACGAATCATTAGTTTTCTATTACTGTGGGTGGTATTTAGGAAGAGATAGTTGCTCGCGAATACCGAGCTTCATAGAATCACGAACAACATTTTGGAGTGAGGTCTGAATCTTGGGCACACACAGGTGTTTTTTACATGCGACCTTACTTCGTGTTAGCTATTTAGGTTCGAACATACTATAAATAGGTTAGAAAACACAATGCAACATTCTAACTCTAGCAAGTATATCACCAGAAATAAAAGTGCCAATGCAAACTATGGGTCCTTGAAATTATCCAGGGCCTCGAGCAGAAGCAAGTAGCCTTTCCATATTGGAAAGATAGGGTTTTCACCAAACCACATCTTTTAATATAGAAGCACATGGCTATGCAGTGGACCGATAGCGCAAGCACATTGACCTTTTAAGAGGAATCCATTTCACATCCGAGGAGGCTGAAGATGTGGTTTTGGTGAGCTCAAAAAACCGTGGCTTGCTATATATTCAAATATCGCTATTGCACTTGTGCGCTTTTGCGCTTTTTGTGCTTTCATTGACGCTTGACATTCTTTGAAACCTCCTCCGTGGACAGCGAGCCCACGACTATCAGAGCACCCACTTCAACTATACTTTTCGGCAAGTCCAATTCTAGAGCCCCGAGGATTATTTCAGGCTACAAACTAGCAGATGGCGACTACAGGCCCTCTTCGTTTAAATGGCTCTTCTTGGGAAAAAAAAATCAATACGTCAAAAATAAGGCCGTTGCAAATCCAATATTACATACTGTATTTCTGACAATAGGCCTTATGCCCCAATCAGGTTCCTTTCCGCAATAGCGTCCCTCTGAAAAAGTTGAACCGATTCCTACCCATGTTGTTTTCGTTATTGGGCAGTCAGGTGGCTCCATTGCCTTGATAAAATTCTTTTTCAAGAACACGATAACTTGCTCATACGCATTTCCCGGCATGATTCGGAATAAAATTTGGTCGTCGGGGAAAGTAGCCCGTGCGCCACTATGTTTTCTTTTGAAGAAGTTGGTAAATTGCCTGCCCACTTCTCGAGACCAGAGACAAGAAGATTGTAATCACATGTGTTGACATTCGTGTCAAGGATTGCTTGAATACGAGCAATCCTCTTCCGCGATTGGGGTAGGCTGCAGGTATAGAACTGTTCTGTATTCTCTGGAACCCAGAAGTCTGACTCACTGGGTATTATTTCTGAAAATAGACCATCTGATTGCATGTCTGGAGGTAGTGTTGAAGAAATGGAGTATTTGACTGTTTGGTCGAGATAAGTTTCAGATGTACCGCGGAGTAGGTGCTACAAGGTACGCAGCGGTATAGACGCCAGCTGCCAAAACCCAATTCCCGGTAAATGTGGATGCCTTGATACTTAATTTTGGCCTGGTTATTGACCGCTCCTTACACCGCCCTATACAATGTAATGTAAATTTGCCAGTGTCAAAAACGAAGCTTTTGGCCTCCCTACTAAGTGAGATATCTTGACTTTCTTGGACGGTTTGCAAGTGTCAAAAATGAAGCTATTTGTGGGAAATAATATGACCATTTTACCACTAGACCATAACAAAAACCAAGGTTCCTGTTTAAGGCCTAGGGGGGCCATATCCCAGTCTAACACTTTATATCTCGACTTTCTTGGACGATTTGTAAGTGTTAAAGAATATAGAGATATCTGTATTTGTATGGGATGAAAAGCTTCATTTTTGACACTTGTAAATCGTCTAAGAAAGTCGAGATATCTCCATTTGTATGGAGGCCAAAAGCTTTATTTTTGAGAGTTCCAAACGCCAGCAGAATCAGGCTACTTTGATTATTAAGGGAAGTGTCATACCTAGGTAGCAATTCAGGTATTTTAATTCTTCTGCCATTTTTAATTCAGGCCGTCAGGCCAAAGTTAGGCATCAAGGCGTCCACATTTACTGGAAATAGGGTTTTGGCAGCTGGCGCCTATACAAGGGCCTCCTCGGATCTAGAGTTCCCATCGCGATTCCCTGAAACCGAGTCAATAGATAAACGGTAGTCACGACTATAGTAATGGATAACGTAAATTAAAAGGTAGTCAAAGATATATTTCAAGCGGGCAAAAAAAGCAGACTTTATATATGAGACTTTTCTATATATAGCCTTTAACTATACTTAAGTTCTAGTTATAACTAACGTATTCGGTAAGCGAGCGGCGGACGCAAGCGAGTGGCGGACCCCAACCAATGCATTAATTTCAAATATAAATATGTCAACCAAAACTCCATTAAATTAAATACAGTGAAATCATCTAGCTAGCTAGGCATCTATTAATCTTATGTCCTATTTCTCCACAACCACTGCACTTTGGTGGGGCCCGCGTACGTGGTTGTAAAGCCGGCGAAGGGCTTCTTCGTAGAGGGGAGGGAGGTGCTTTAATTGCTTCCACCGGCTCAGTAATCAATTGAGAAGCTTCCTGTACTGAAAGGCCTGCTTCTGCCTGTATTTGCCTCCGGGATCTAGTACGCTTTTGCTTCTGCTTCTCGTTGGCGGCGCGTAATTCCTTATTTTCTTTGGCGAGTAAGATAGCACCTTGCATTGTAAGACGGAAGCCTTTCACAAGCTGGTTTAATGCACGATCTGACGGGCTAGGCGGGCTTCGAGACCTTGTACGAAGTAAGGCTTTAATTGATGAAGCCTGACGACGTAGTTCTTTCTCCGTAAAGGGGGTTTTTGGAGTAAAATTCCGGCTTGATTCACTACCCCGGCTAGCTGGGGGGGTTGGGGTTCGAAGTCGAATATTAAGCTTTGAAATCACTCGGTCGGGTGCAAATGGTATTAAACCAGCTGCTCCGAAGCTATTCTTAATAGTCTCCGATTTAAAAGCTTCAATTCGTGTAAGGGGGTATGCTTCGAGGAAGTCAAGTTTGTCAATATGATTGATCCCGTTCCGCATCTTGATTTCAACCATCCGACCATATATACGTTTTAATGCCGCAAAACAACCAATGTCCAGAGGTTGTAAAAGATGAGATGAATGCGCTGGCATACAGATTGGTATCACCTTATTTTGCTCGCAAATTGCGTCAAATTTAGGCGTTAAATAACTTCCGTGACCGTCGAGTATCAAAAGCCGATAGCTCCCCTTCGTACGTAAAGAAGTAGTCGGAATAAAGAGCTTTTCAAGCCAACGAAAGCTAATTTCATCAGAGGTCCAGCCATTAGGACTAACTTCGAAGCGCCAATCCCCCGGAAGGCCGTCGAACCATGATTCAATAAAGACTTTGCCTTTAAAAATCATACACGGAGGAAGGGCCCAGCCCGAAGCATTTATACACTCAATAGCAGTCACCCACTCTCGATTTCCAGGTTGTAAAAGTGAACGCCGACCATAGTATTCACTCCTCGTAATAACCTTTGCAGTTGCAGTCAATCCCATTGCAAAACCAGTCTCATCGAAGTTGTAAATATCATCGGGATCGATTCCAAATTGAAGAATCGTCTTTTGAACTAAATCAAACCACTCCCTAATGATTTTAGGGTCTTCGCATTTTGCACGTTCGTAATTGTACCGTTTCGAGAATCGGGAGGAGAGAAGAGGATGTCGTTTCACAAAGTTATATACCCATTTTTCGCCAACCGAAAGAACCGGGGTAGTTCCACGCTTTTGAAGAAGAAGATCCGCCATTTCTCGTACCATAGAGGGCCGGGGGGCTGCTCCACGAGAATCCATAGAGAGAATCCATTTTTGAAGAGACTCCTCTTCAATTTCCGTCAATTTAGAGGAATTTGCGCGACAAATCACGCGGCTCTGTACCCCCTTAAGGCGGCGGCGGAGGGTAGTTTCGGGCACACTAAAACGGCGCGCCACTTCACAAATTGAAGAGATTTCTTGATTTTTAAAGGCCTGGATAGCTAATAAAAGCCTGCCCTCTTGCTCTATTAAATTTGTAGAGGATTGAGAGCGAATTGGTGGCATAGTGGGTGGTTGAACTAACTAAGTGCTAATTCATGGACGCGTTTTGCGTGGGGTCCGCCACTCGCTTGCGTCCGCCGCTCGCTTACCGAATACGTTACCTAGATTTTATACTTAATAATCAATTTTATGCTTGAAATCCTATACTTAAATTCACTATGCTTATGTTCTCCTATATTTATCTTTCCTTGAACTAGATGTTCACGGCTAATAAATAGTCGAAATCGGTGCCCTCCTATCTTTCATCGTCCATCTCACCTACAACTCTGTCTACCAACGCGCCCAACTAATACCACCATCTTCCCTCATCTAAATTGACGGCCTTCTACCTACCATCTCCCTCTTCTAACTTACATGGTCCACTTAGTTGTCCACAGGATCGTGCTCATGCTCTCCAGTATCCCATCTGGCATTAGATTCCTTCTCATATTTATCGCGATGGTTGACTATCTCGCTGATGCATACGGGACCCACACACAGCGAGTGCATTGACCGCTGTAAGTTGCACAATAAGTGTGTCCTGTACGTTGTTTCCGCTTGCTACCTCGCTAATGTTTGGAATGCATTGGGCTGTTAGTTTGCTGGGGTTCGCGAGTTTGATGATTCTGATCTCATATGCGTTCATTTTGGGGGTCATAGAATAATGTTTTCATTCAGCCTGCCAAGAACAGCCGACTATTTTCAGACCCCAAAGTGATTATGTACTTCGGAACTTAAATCTACTTAATAAGCAGTCAGATGATGGATACTTGTCAATACCTAGCTGGGTGGCCTGCAGAGAGTGGGCTCTCCCCTCGTACTTTTTCTTTCTTTAGTATCTAACCCTAGTCAACTCCCGAGGTCGATATACTTTAAAACGGGTGGCTTCGGCTTTCCAGGGTTACTAGGTAAACGGTTTTGAGTGGGTCTCGTACCCTGGTTAAATTTCACCTTCTCTACCCCCCTTCACTGTTGGAAAAGTGTCAATATGGAAGAAAAAATGGAGAAAATAGTAGTGGTAAGTGGTTGAGAAATTCGAATTACCTGAATATCCTAACCTCTCGTATAGGACCCTGATTTCTACTCCATGGTCACTGGCTACGATATGGACGACCTTCAGTCGTGAGTGCCTGAAAATCATATCTATGGTCGCATTCTCACTTGTGTAGGGACACCACCTCTATCGCATCCGCGATTGCGAGGGGACGGCTGGAGAACGGCCGAAGGTCAGTCCACTTCCAGTTCAAGATCAATTCTCAAGACTGACCCAATATGTAGATACCAAGCCATCAAAGAAGACGACTATTGGTTAGTTGTGATACAATGATCTTGTTTTACATAAAGTAACCATATAAAGGGGTCCTTCTGACGAGCAGCAATTCGAGGCATTTGAGATTGGGTAAACCGCATCCTATCCTGTTACCTTTCATTTCTAATATTAACGAACTCAGCCATATGGTGTTTCTCGTGCTAGATCACGAGCAGCCAAATCCTCTATTCCGCGCCCCTATTGGAAAATCGCCCAAGGTAAATTTATACCAAAGTTGTTCTCGGTTAGACGTTCTGCTAACCACTCAGTGTAGAATATTTTAGACATCGGAACTGGCCAGGGGAGTTGGGCAATGTAAGTTAACGAATAGCCCTTTGCGAAGAGAACCTCTAACAAATACTTAGTGATGTTGCCGATCGATATCCCTCAGGTACTGTATTCCTTGATTCCACTCCTTCGACTCTTGACTGAAACCAATTATAGCCACCGTCCGCGGAGTGGATATCTTCCCCCCGCCTGTGTTATGGATGCCCCCGAACTGCATCTTCGAGGTGGATGATGTGCTTCGCGAATGGACATGGAGAGAACCATTTGACTTTATCCATATGCGCCTATTGTATGGCGCATTCGCTCCCGATGGATGGGATACACTATACAAACAGGCTTACGAGTGAGTTTCAGCCCCGGTAAATTGATTTTCCAAGGCATCGCGCCCTGATATTTATTTTTCTTTTGCAATAGTGCTCTAGAGCCTGGTGGCTGGATTGAACAAATGGAATTAGACGTACGAGTCTACAGCGATGACGGTAGCTTGAAAAAAGAACACCAACTATATGGGTGGGGCGACATGTTTATTAGATGCTCTGAGCGAGCTGGACGATCACTTAGAACCCATGAAACAATGCGCAGCGCAATTGAGAAAGCGGGTTTCGTGGATGTGCATGAGGAAAAGTACAAGATCCCCCTAGGACCGTGGCCTAGGGATACTACACTGAAGGAGGCCGGACACATCCAGTATGCTCATTGGAATGCCGCTCTAGAAGGTTGGGCGATGTGGCTTCTCACTCACTTTGGGGAGCCAGTGCCGTGGAAAAAGGAGGAAGTGCATGTGTTCCTCGCTAAAGTGCGTGCCGAGCTGAAAAACCCGCATATTCACGCTTATGAACCTGCGTAGGTGTTTTCTTCCCACATCGCTGGCTCATTTTGTGCTAATAAATTTTAGGAACCGCGTGTGGGCAAGAAAGCCTACCAAGGAAGAATTGAAAGCAAGAGAGGCAATCATCAAGATTGAAACATCGCCGTAAAGCAGTCTTGACTCTTGGCAGGCGTCTTCGAATCCCAGAAGCCACATTTTCCATTCTTACCGGCTCTTTTTAACGCTGTTTGTTATCATTTTGTAATTTCGACATTTAAGCTCAAATATCAAGGAAAATAGTGGCAGATCACTAGATGTACCCCCATGCAATGGACATAGGGATACTCATGAGCATCTAAATATGTTGGTTGTCAATCACTAAATGCAGTCGGAATTGAAATGTATTCCTGCGATGCAACACGATGCACATTGACGTGAAACTATACCGCAGCGCTAATCTTGCATTCACGAGGTTTCAAGATTATTGGCAAGTCGGGAGGGTCGAATTAGAGTTGGTATTGACACAGCACTGATGCAGAGAATTAACTGGGATTCTCAACAGATGCACGGCATATTATTTTTATACAGTATATATTTATTATGTTGTCAAACTTCATCTTCTTTCCTGTAAATACAATGGTCATTGGGATAATCCTACTATAAACTAAATAGACCTTCGTTAGCACGTATCTGAAAACAACAGAAACCCCCCCCCCCCAAACCCCCCCCCCCATAAAGTGGTGCCCCCGTATCACTCGGCTTCAAATCTATCGCATTTTGAACACCATTAATACCAAATTTCATCTCCTACCGCATCTGGAACTTGCAAAGCGTCCAGAGAACCATATCATGCTGTCTCTAACTACGGTGGGAGACAATAATACTATCAACATCGGCCTGAACGGCCATCTCAGCATCCGCCGCAGTCTGTACCCGCTTGGTATCTTCATGCCGCTGCTTAGGCAGGTGCTCTAGGCTAGACCATGTGTGTATTAGATTTGGGAAGATGGTATTCTCCCACTTAAACGCACCCTATAACTTCGCCTGCCTCATAGCCGTATTCATCTCTGAACTCACATCGGAAGACAGGATCAGTGAAGCTGAGGCCTATACTGTAGAGAGGAAGGTAGATATTTTCGATGTCTAGAGGACGATAGCTCACGAGAAAGATGTCCAGTGTGACAATGAGAGCTGTGTAGCGTGCTGCTTTGGCACAACGTAGGATAGACCATATCCCGTCGTGGTCAACAACAGATTGGGGCCGGTAGAGCTGGAGCTAGGAAATCCTTTTATAATAGTCTACTGCTTCATATTCGGCTTGCGCTATGATTTCGGGGCTTTCTAATACAAAAGAGAGTCCATATGGGACTCAACTTGGCCGGCTGCTTAGGCGATTCTTTTCCCTCAGTGACTACAGACGTTAGAAAGTAATAACATACCTGATCATAATGAAGAGAAATAGCCAATGAAGCCTGGGAGTATTCTAGCCTAGTATTTAATTTCATAGCTACACCAAGGAGTGCTTTGAAAAGAAAAAGTTGAATACAATGTCTATACCTTTTCTAGGCCGGAAGTATAGAGGCGAACGCGCAAATTGAACCGGAGCCCTCGATCTCGTTTTGAAAACCAGCTGTGCTAATGGTACCTACCTCATGATCCGTTTATGCGACGAGACAGCGCTTGAACTGATTTTCTGAGATGTACCTTTTCCTCTTCCCTTTTCTCTCATCAACCCTCACCATCCCATTATCGTATCATCTTTTTAATCATTCCATTCATCAATTCTTCTTTATTGCCATCCTAATTCAGTATGGACCTGTACAACCCTGACATGCGTGAGCACTGGGAAGCCAGCCTCATGGGATTGCAGTTCTGGGAAGATGCGACGAGATATGCCGAGAGACTTGCTAGTGAGCAACAAAGTATGATTTAACACGTGCTGAATAATCAATTGATATATACTTCGTGCTAATGCTGATTGCCATTTAGCCCGAGTGAGTCCAACTGCTCAGTCGCCTTCAAGGAATCCTGTTCAGACTGGAGTCACGAGCTCCCCCGAGAAGAGTCCAACCAAGAAGAGCCGCTTCCAACTCTCTCAGCTCGCTTCCTTCAATAGTATGCGCCTCCGAAATATCACTCAGCCCTCCCCTGTAGGGACTGATGCCACCAACTCGCCAGGGAAGAGTCAGAGAAGTCCCAACAAGGGTAGCTTGCATCTTCCAAAACTGCCTTCCTTCAAGACTCTAAGTCTCAAACGAGGACCCATCCTTGCGTCAACTTCAGGCATTGTTGAGGTTGAGAAAACTGTTCGTCCATCAATTCTGTCTCCTTCTACTTTCCTTCCTCCTGAACCTTCCACTCCTACTTTCTTTCCTCCCGAGTCTCCGATTCCTCCCATGCCCAAGACCCCTCGTCCTGCTTTTCGTTCTCTCTACAGAGGACCATCTGCTCCCAACCTGGATATTGCACCACCTAACCCGGCTGAGAGCTCTGATAAATTTGCCACAATGGCTCCTGGTTACATTAGCAATGCTAATTTCCAAGATTGGCTTGAGCGAAAAAGTGATCATCACCCTGAACCTGTGACCACTCCTCACCCGGCGCACAGTTCTCGGATCAGTCTGATGGCCCACCTCAATGATGGCGGCACCTGGGATAACATCCCCCGCACCAGATCAGTCCTGGAACTTAACATGTTTTTCGATGCTCGCAAGGTCTCTGCTGAGAGCCTTGTTGATCTCGATGATGACCAGGATATTGATGAAGGTACCGTGACTGGCGAAGTCACTATGATCGGCAAAGCTACCATGACCGACAAAGTTACCATGACTGACAAAGTTACCATGACCGACCTCGACCTCAAATCTTCCATCGTGAACACCACCATGGTTGACAAGGCCACCATGGCCGACCTTGACACCGACAACATGAGTACTGACAAGAGCACTGCCGAGACTGATGTTAGCATGGAATGTGCTGCCAATGAGCCCACCACTAATGACCACCTGGCCACTGAACAGGCTACAGCTGAGACAGACGATATTAATAAGTCTGCTGCCACCGCGGAGACCAACGTTAACCTGGACTCTGGTGCTGCAATTGAGGCCGATCTTCCTATCCTGAAGGAGTCTGTTACCGAACAAGCCAACACGGAGCACGCAGATATCAACACGAACTGTGCCACTGACAATCGGACCACCTATAACAACCTGCCGACTGATGGATCTACCATGGCTGATCTGGAAATCGAGAGTTCTAGCACCGAAGAGCTGACCACCAACAGCAAGGACGCGAAAGGCAAGACCGCCGTGCACGATTGGGAGCTTTTTAGTCCCAGTGCAATCAGGAAGGAGGACCTTCTCATCTTTGATGCGCCTCGATACCCAGACCAAGAGGTCATAATGGAAGTCAACGCTCCAAAGGCAGCTAAAGTGATTGACAATGCCTTCAATAAGGCTGCCACTGATGACCAGGGAATCGACCAGTCCACCGAGAAGCCAGATGATGAGCTGAGAATCACCATTCTCTCACTGACGCAGATGCGGCCTCTGTGTGAGTTCCGAAACCTCCGCGTGCTGAAGCTGACTGGCATGATGCACTCATACCAGCCCATCATCTGGCAGACGGTCTGGAGAAACCCTCGCCTCGTCACGCTGGAGCTAGAGATGGCAGCTAGCCTGGAGATCAAGAAGCTGGCTGGTCCCAGTGGATGGAAGCCCATCAAGGAGGGATGGGTAATGAACGTCAAGTCGGGTGCCTCGCCCGTGTACTAGTAAGTTGCACCAACTGAGAGTTATGTGAGACTAAGAGAAGTGACATATGCTAACTTCAATGATTTGTAGTGGTCACCGTGGCGATGGCGAGATCTCGGAGGCCATCGGGTACGGCGAGTACCTGGACAAGTTCTGCATCGAGAAGGCAAAGGTGCTTGTCCTGAGTTCTGGTTTCCCTGCTCCCCCCTCCCTCCCGGTCAAGCGTCTGACCTTGACTGGTTTCGCTGTGGACGGAGACCCGTTCGGGATGTGGTTCCGGAACCTCGAGGAGGTTCACTTCAAGAAGAACTGCATCGACTGCGGTTTCTGGCTGTCTCGCGCCCAGCGAGACGTTCGAGTTCGTCACTCGGACGAGTACGTCGGAGTGGCCCGGGGTGGGGACGGGCCCTCCGTGGCTGGCTCCGTCGAGGAGCTCGGTGAGGAGGCACTTGCCGAGCTCACCGCTGCGGTGAGAGGCCTGGGGGCCTCAGGGATGTGAACGGACTGTGTCCGTGTCCGTCGGCGGCGACGCGCTCCCCAGAACCTTTCCCAGGGGGTTCTGGTGGAGCGTGCCGCCAGGGAAATATCATATTCGGTCGTGTACGAGTAGGAGAAAAAAAAACCAAAAAAAAAGCCATTGTTCAAGTCATTCTTGCTTCTTATGGAATAAATGTAGAGTAGAGAATAGTATGGCCAAGTATCAATATCCCTATGCTCATTCCTCATTCCTCATAGCTCACACCAAACCTCAAATGAAACTGAGAAAAAGGTCAAATTGACCCGCAAGTGAGAGAAATCTGAAAGTCAACTGAAATAAAAAAAGGCAACACAATTCATATCATCTGAATCCCAACCTGAAAGTAAGTGAAATAGTCATTTCCTTACGCACCCTCTTCATCTGAGATACGAATAGCTCCCTCATTGCCGACACCATGGGACCAGAATCCTTCCATGTAAAGAGCACTGCAGCAATTAGCATGTCGTCCTATAAAGAGATTCAGTTTTAAACCCACATTCCAGGTGCGCTTTCATGTGCCAATAGAAGCCAGTATCCAAGGACACCTTGTGTAAAGACATCTTGTATAGCGAAGAGGACAGTTTCCGTATCAACACTCAATTTAAGCGCAAGAGCACCAGCCGCGAGGGAGCTATCCACAATTAGTATTCGTCCTGAACTCAAGAATATTCGTAATATGTAAAACTCACATAGGGAACAGCGCTAGCATGGCAATCGCCGATCCAGAAACAGACCCGAAGAACCGTCTAGTCTGGGCATCCTTGCCCTTTGCCGCTCGCTGCGCGTGGAAGCCTACATGGTGAATCACAACCAGGTAGGAGATACACGAGAGGGTCAACCAAACCCAGCGCTCGCGACCATGGCCTGCAAATATGCCGAATAGAGCTGTAGCCAGCATGATCAGGTGGGCGGCAATACCGATGAGTAGGTTTGCTCCTGGTAGGCCGGATATCAGGGCGAAGTTGATGAATAGCAGGGGTGTTGTCAGTGCCCAGTTTACATAGCGCAGCCATAGAATCTGGCGGATATAGTCTGTGTGTGTATCTGGGACATGTTTGTGGGTCTCGTGGACTCTGGAGTGTTTGGTTGTTATGCCTTGGCCTGTCGAAAGGGCTAGGTAAATGATGAAGGAAATGGTGGTTATTAGAGAGGTTAAAATATGGAAGATTCGTTTAGGCTGAATATATGTTAGATATATATGTACAGATAGATTATAAAGAGAGGTATAGTATAGATGATGCTGCTGCAGGGTTAACTTACTAGAGGAGCACGAGCGGCCAGCGTATAAAACACCAGCGAGGAGATGCCCATCAACACAGTGACAACCCTGTAGATGTTAGAACTAAATAATTCCAATATATTGTAATATACACATACCATAAAGTCCGCTTGCCCACATCATGAAGTTCCTGGTAGACCTCAGATCCCGGAACTACAGTGGGGATAGGCGCCACTGAGGACGTGGTGGCGGGCGCCGTCAGAGTAGCAAACTGATCAAATGGAGGCTGAATCATGCTGAAATTGAAGAATATGAGTAGAAGCAGAACTGAAGAAGAGAAAAGCGAGAATATATAAATGGTATGACGAATGCGTCAAAGCCGGATTTAGGGATGATTGGGATAACCGTCATTGACAGAAGTACTGTCGTCATAGCCAATTGTAACATTTACTACATGAACTTACATGGATCTCTCTGGCTTTTAATTGATTCAATTAGTTTTTACATGGATAGTATCTTCTTTCAGCTTGGTTTTTAATTTGAATGTTTGATTGTTGTACACTATTGGTTGCACTGCAGTTGCTAAATTGGCTGTGACGTCCAATCATGCAGCCCTGGAGATGTTCGATATAATACATAATAATAAGTATACAGACTTGCACAGTGTGCTCTAGGCGTTTGCCTCATGCACCACTGTATCACACCGGTCGCAGATCGCATTTTCAATCGCCACTGGTTCCGGAATGGCGTACCGCCAGCACCGTGGGCACTTGGAAGCCTGTGGCGCGTACACGTACACTTTGCCTGGCTGGCCACCAAGCTCAAATGTCTCCTCATATTGCCATTCAGCATTGTTGATGTCAGTCGGGAGAGGTTCATTGTGTGATGAAAGGGCAATGGAAGACACAACAAAGAGATCAGGGAGCTCTGCCAGATACTGCTGGAATAATCCAGAGCTGCTGGGAAGGACAATGTGGACAAAGGATTGCAGGGAGGAGCCAAGCTGCTTTTTACTACGCGCCTGCTCCTGCAAGTTCTTAATAGCAGAGTGGACCACCGTCAGCTCCTGGTAGCTGGTGTCTAGGGCTAAATCCTGCCACTCCGGAGCTGGGGCGGAAATAATACGCTGCAGGGGGTGCTCAGATTGGCTGCGAATAGACTCGGGAGTATATTCCCAAGTTTCTTCCACAAGCATTGGTGTAATAGGAGCCAGTACCTCCTGAAGATGATTGTAGATGTAGAATAAGGTTGTTTGCGCGGCCCGGCGACTCGTGCTGTCCTCACCAAGGGTGTAGAGTCGGTCTTTGATCGCCTCCATGTAGAAAGCAGAAAACTCGAGGTTGGCCCACCGGTTCATCGTGCTCACGGCCTTGTAGAACTCGAAGTTATCACACGCCTTCTGCGAGGTGAGCACCATGTCCGAGAGGTGCTTGAGTGCAATTCGATCAACCAGCTGCAGCTGCCCGTATGAGACAACGTTCTCTGGACGGAAATCGGCAAAGGCACCTAGCAGCAACTTGAAGGTGACACGGAATTTGTGGAGACTAGTGTTGACGGTCTGGAGTACCTGTTTTCCAATAACCACATCGCGCGTGTAGTCGCTACTCGCCGCCCACATGCGAAGTGCATCCGGGCCAAGAGCGTCGTACACAGGTTCTGGGTTCTCAGGTTGCTTCTTTCCTTTAACTTTGCGGGCTTTGAGAGGAGGCAGCAGAGTTCCATCCATGATGGTGTGCGGGAGGATCACGTTGCCAATGGACTTGCTCATTTTACGCCCATGTTCGTCCAGAGTGAAACCGTGGGTGATGAGGTTCTTGAATGGCGCACGAGGCGTCGTGAATTGACTCGAGCCGAGCTGGTGTGAGATATACGTAAGAAGCCCGGACTGGAACCAACCACGGTGCTGATCAGTACCTTCGAGATACACGTCGGCTGGATGACTCCGCCCTTCGATAGGAACGTCGATCTCTGCCCAGCTGGTACCACTGTCAAACCAAACGTCCATGGTGTCTGTTCCACGTCGATACCCCGCTCCCGCCTCCCCCCGCAAGGACGGAAGAATCCATGCAGCATCATCCGCACTGTCGGTCCACCAGGCATCAACTCCCCGCTCTTCAATTGTGGCCATGATATGTGAAACACTATCTTTAGTCAAGACGGCCTCACCAGTAGTCCGGTGATAGATTGCAGGAATCGGAACACCCCACGCGCGCTGACGCGAGATACACCATTCACTCCGGTTTTTCACAAAGTTTTCGAGTCGCTGCTTTCCAGTCTCGGGGACGAACCGAACATCTTCCAACGCTCGAAGAGCGCTACTGCGGATATCGGCCACATCGGCAAACCACTGCTCGGTTGCCCGAACAATAATCGGAAGCTTTGAGCGCCAGTCATAAGGGTACTTGTGCTCGTACTTATGTTGGGCAAGCAACTGATCACACGATTCGACCCACTCCAACACTGCTGTGTTACCTTCTCCCAAGACAGGCTTTCCGGCTAAACGTGTAGCATCGAGGGGCATGGCTTTATCTGTGAATTTGCCCTCATCGTTGACGGGAGCGAACACAGGAATGCCACGCGCAAGACATGCTTCGTAGTCGTCCATTCCGTGACCAGGCGCGCAGTGAACCATACCAGAGCCAGAATCAGCAGTCACAAAGTCCGCAGCGAAGATGGGCTGCGGCTGTGCTTCAGGTCCTTTGAATAGAGGTCTATACGTAGTTTGCTCTGCCAGCTCGGACCCAATGATAGATGGCACGACGACGGAGAGTTCTTCTTTCAGCATATTTTGGAGGTACTCGAACCGCGATTGAGCGATAAGGAGATGGCCATGTTTTTCCGACAAGACAATAGTGTATTCCAACGACTTGTTGACTGCAATGGCAGCATTGGCAGGCAGCGTCCAGGGGGTAGTGGTCCAAATCACAGCACTCAGTTCCTTTCCACGGAGAAGAGGATTTTGAGAAAGATGCATGGGGATATCGATAAGAGGGAACTTGACCAAGGCGGCGGTCGAGATATGATCATCCTTATATTCCAGTTCTGCTTCCGCAAGAGCGGTACCCGTTGACGGCGACCAGTAAACTGGCTTGAACTTCCGGTAGATAAGGCCACGGTCCACCATTTCCCGGAAAATACCCAATTGTCGCATTTCGAATTCTTTGTCCATGGTCTTCCAGTGGTTCTCCCAATCAGCCATGACCGCGAAGCTGCGGAACTCTTTCATCTGCCCCTTCACGGTTTGTCTTGCCAATTTCCGTGCCGCCGTGCGAATAACTGCCGCGCTGGCGGATCCGCTTGCGACTGCCTCATCGCGCAGGCCTTGAAGCGCTTTAAGCTCGATCGGCAGTCCATGGCAGTCCCAGCCTGGCACGTACCGCACCCTCTTCCCGCGACCCAATTGTACGCGACAGATGATATCTTTCAAGATCTTGTTGAGCGCATGTCCGACATGAAGGTCACCGTTCGCGTACGGTGGACCATCGTGCAGGACGAATGGTTGCTCGGCGGGCCTTTCGCGACGTTGCCAGGCGTAGAGATCATCAGTGCATCGTTTTAGGTATTTCGTCCGATCGACAGGCGACACGCGTGGAGGGAATGACGATTTAGGAAGTTTCAGCGTCGAGGTCCATGAGCGAGGAATTGACCGCGCCAGTTCCGGCATTGTCCAGCATATCCTAGAAGATAAGTGGAAGGGATGTCCAGTGAAGAGAAGAGTCTTGGCATTTTACAAAACACGGCTTCCAAAAAGGGTTTAGACCCCGCCCGCTCGGACTTGGTACTTTTGATATGCACATATGTATGATGATGATTGTGGTGACGATGACGATTCGTGGCCATCAATTTATAAATTTGAAGGCTAACTAGTTTTATTCTATCACCCCTGTCATTTCCTAATGAATAGAAAAGATAAAATGAAAAAAAATCTCCGACACTACGCTAGAGGGGATATCGGGGCCCGCGGACCCCGGGGAAATTTTTATAGTCTCTTGGCTTAGGCCCACTAAGTATGACTGTGGGAAGTTAAAGAGCAATAGGTCTCGATTAATGGTTCATAATTGTCTTTGTTTTCTCCTCAACACAGTATATGAATCGAAAATCGTCGGATTAGAGCAAGGTGCCTGGATATATGGTTACCTGAGCGATTCCGAATGAAACTCTACAATGGAGAAAGAATCCGATACAGATACAAATCATGACCAGGAGCCCAAGGCAGAAACCGATGCATTTAGTAGTTATCTAGTAAGATTATTCCCCTCCCATTCAGGCTGAAAACTTTAACACCAAGCAGAGGATCTTTCAATATGGCTCATCCCAAGACTATACCCTGCAGGCCATTGCCACTGCCTGCGCACTAGGGTCTGGTGTTGGCATGGCTCTTGTCAATCTGGTTTTTGGCCAGTTCATCACACTTACCACTGACTACTCGACGAGCGCCGCAGGTGCTTCTCATTTCCGAAGTGAATCCGCAAGACTCAGGTATGTGCAATGCGTTTCATCTTGATTGGCAGCGTGAACTAATATAGAGATAGTCTCTACTTCTTCATTATTGGCCTTTGCCGATTCGTTCTCACCTATGTATACAGCACGTTGTATACATTTGCCGCATATCGGATTATACGAAATATTCGCCGCCGTTACCTAACAGCAGGACTGAGCCAGGAAATTGCCTTCTTTGATGCCGGCACTAGTGGATCGATTGCGATGCAAGCTACCTCCAACGGACGACTGATCCAGGGTGGAATATCAGAAAAGCTGGGACTTGTCATTCAGGGCCTGGCCGCTTTCATATCGGCCTTCGTGCTAGCATTTGTCACTCAATGGAAGCTGACACTCATTTGCTGCTGTATTGCCCCAGCGATGCTTCTGGCCATGGGCATATGCTCCACCATTGAAGCTTCGATTGAGTCAAAGATTCTCAAAGTTCAAGCCCAGGCCGGGGCTTTCGCAGAGAGTATTTTGTCAAGTTCTCGGACGGTACAGGCTTTCGGGCTTCGAAACCAACTGCTACGCGAATTTGACAAGTTCTTGCAAGCCTCAAGAAAGCTGGGAAATAAGAAATCTCCTCTTTTTGGCTGCCTATTCGCCACGGAGTACACCATCATCTTTGCAGGGTTTGGCTTGTGCTTTTGGCAGGGTGTAAAGATGGTATCCACTGGGGAGGTGAAGGAATCTGGAGATGTTTTCACGTATGTTCAGTCTTTATCCTTTCACAGCTGGGAATACTAATAATGATAATTGCAGTGTGCTTATGTCTGTGGTTGTGGCAGCCACAAGCTTGACCACTATCATGCCTTATTTAATTGATTTTGTCCGCGCTGCCTCCGCAGCGTCAGAGCTATTCAAGCTCATCGATCGAAAGTCGAGAATCAATCCGTTCGACGAGTCTGGAGAAAAACCGACGGACCTGATGGGCTATCTCGATTTTGATAACATCTCGTTCGCTTATCCTACGCGCCCTGATGCCAAGGTGTTGGATAATTTCTCACTGCATATTCCTGCTGGGAAGACAACTGCGCTCGTGGGAGCAAGCGGGTCTGGTAAGAGTACTATCGTTGGACTTATTGAGCGATGGTACAACCCTTTGTCAGGAACAATCAAGATTGATGGCCAGCCTGTTGAGCTATTCAACCTCAAATGGCTGCGTCGGCATGTTAGACTTGTTCAACAGGAGCCCATTTTGTTTGCCGGCACAGTTGCTGAAAACATCGCCAATGGCCTTGTGGGTACACCGTGGGAAAATGAGCCTCCAATCGAGAAGCTTGCCCGGATACAGGACGCTGCTAAAATTGCTTTTGCCCACGATTTCATTACCGAGCTTCCCAACGGGTATGATACCGTCATTGGGGAGAGAGGTGGGCTATTATCCGGTGGTCAAAAACAACGTGTTGCAATTGCTCGCAGCATTGTTTCCCAGCCACGAATTCTTCTTCTAGATGAGGCAACGAGTGCGCTTGATCCTCATGCCGAGGAAGTTGTTCAACAGGCACTGAACAACGTTTCGAAGGGACGAACAACAATCACCATTGCACACAAACTAGCCACCATAAGAGATGCTGATAATATTGTCGTCATGGAAAATGGCCGTATTCTCGAGCAAGGTACGCATAGCTCCCTTTTGGAACTGAACAGCGCCTATGCACGACTCGTGCGGGCTCAAGATCTGTCTGTAGCCACGCAAGACCCCGAGGAGGTGTCGATTGGTTCGGATGAAACACACAAAGGAGATCACGTTGCACTGACTAGTGAGCTGACTCGGTACTCGACTATGACGAGATCAACTCTCGAGAAGCAGTTGAGTCGGGATGATTTTGATAATTGGAAAAGATTGGGGCTTCTCCACACAGTCTGGCGATTGGTAACATCGACTCCGGAGCTCAAATGGTCTTTCACAATTATGGTTCTGGCTTCTATAATAGGAGGTGAGACTGGCATTTTGAAGCCCAATTTCCGCAAACCGAACTAACCAAATTGTAGCTGCTTCATTTCCTGGCCAAGCTATTTTGATGTCCAAATTGATCGATATATTTAAATTTACCGGTGCAACTCTGCGGACTAAAGGGAACTTTTTTGCGCTCATGTTTTTAGTCCTCGGGCTTGGATCTTTCGTCGTCTACTTTGTTCTCGGATGGGCATCAAACATTGTGGCACAGGTAAGTCTCTTTCAGTGGTATATACGTAGATCTTGGTACGACTAACTCATCTAGATAATAAACCACAAATACCGGAAACAAGTCGTCAATGACATGATGAAACAAGACTTACAATTCTTTGATCGCACCGAGAATACTACAGGAGCACTGACCAGCCGTGCCGACTCTTATCCACAGGCTGTGTTTGAGCTTATGGGCTTCAACGTTGCTCTGATACTGGTTGCAACGGTTGGTGTAGTGGCATGTGCCATCATGTCACTGGTATATGCATGGAGGCTTGGCCTTGTTATTGTCTTCGCAGGACTTCCACCCATGCTCCTTTCCGGTTACGCTCGCATCAGAATGGAGGGTGCAATGGATCACAAGATTTCAAAATTATTTTCCAAGAGTGCATCCATTGCCTCAGAGGCCGTGAATGCTATCCGGACGGTGTCTTCTTTGGCGATTGAGATGTCTGTTTTGGACCGATACACCGAGGAGCTTGACCAGGCGATTGCCACATCCACGAAGCCACTGCTTCTTATCATGCTTCCTTTTGCGTTCACTCAGACCGTGGAATATTCGTTCCTAGCACTGGGTTTCTGGTATTTTCCCCCCTGTCATCTTTGTTCTCGTTGTGGGTTTTATTATGACTTGATTCTAACCATTGGATCGTCTCGACGTAGGTATGGATGCCGGCTTGTCTCATTTGGAGATTTGAGCGAGGTCAACTTTTACATGAGTTTTCTCAGTGTGTTCTTTTCTGGCCAACAAGCTACAATTCTTTTTGGCTTTTCAAGCAGTAAGATACATTCCAAGCCTGCGTGGAAGGTGAAGGCGGGTTACTAACAGCTATCCAGGCATGACAAAGGCAACAAATGCTGCAAATTACATATTTTGGCTTGAAGAGCTTCAGCCTATCATTCGAGAGACCGACGAAAACCGCGAGATGGGCCCTGGCGACTTCAAGTCTCTACACTTGGAAAATCTGCAATTCTCTTATCCAATGAGACCCCACGCTCGCGTACTACGTGGTGTTGACCTTCAAGTATGTCACTCCACTCGCGCTAACTTTATTTTCGCTCTTTGATTCACCAAATAGGTGCCACAAAGATGACATTACTCATTGCTAATATTTTGTGTACAATATAGATCAAAAAAGGTCAATTTGTCGCGTTCGTCGGCGCATCTGGCTGTGGAAAAAGTACCATGATCAGCATGCTTGAACGATTTTACGACCCAGTCGCCGGTTACATCAAAATCGATGCCCTTACATTAGACCGCTTGAATCCGTGGCTGTACCGAGGTCAAGTGGCACTTGTTCAGCAAGAGCCCACTCTCTATCCCGGAACCATTCGCGAAAACGTATCCATGGGGACGCCGACTGATGACGCGGAAACGGTTCCTGACAGCGAAATTGAGGCTGCCTGTCGAGCTGCTAACGCGTGGGAATTTATCTCATCGCTGCCAGATGGCCTTATGACTCTATGTGGGGCCAATGGGACACAGCTCTCTGGTGGGCAACGTCAACGCATCGCTATTGCCAGAGCGTTACTCCGAAATCCACGTTTGCTCCTATTAGATGAAGCAACAAGCGCATTGGACACTCAGTCGGAGAGAATTGTCCAAGATGCGCTGAATGAGGCGGCTTCCCAGGGGGATAGAATCACGATCGCGGTTGCCCATCGCTTGTCGACTATTCGTCATGCGGATATGATTTGCGTGTTTGACGGGGGTAAGATCGCTGAGTCTGGAACCCATGAGGAATTGCTAGCGAAAGGCCGAATTTATCCGAAGATGTGCGAGGCTCAGAACCTAGGCACTTGATCAAGCGAAACATCGTATCCTCTGCAGGGTTTCAAATCGACATATATGAGTACATATGCATATAATAGAAGGAACAAAGGTGATGACGGAACGTCTAATTTGGATCGACGCAGACAGATCGCCATGTAATTAAACCAAAGCGAATACATATCGAAAGCCATTTTCATATTTGACCATATCTCAGTCTCCTATGACTTCATAGCTCTTGGTCTCATCAACTTGTTCATACCTTACCCATGATTATTTCAAGAAGTAGAGGGGAATATATAACAGATCCCTAGATATAGGTACATGGCCCCTTGGGTCCTTTAGCGTAATCACTACTATTATATCCACACTTCCTTTACTAACGCCTCGGAAATCCCAGTATAAAAGTCCGCACTTTTTTCCATAGGTCTATCAAGTTGCTTTCTTTGCTCTACTGTACTTCCCCTTTTATAACCCGTACAGCTTGGCGGTTTATCAGCAAAGTATCTTTCACCAAGGGTGACTCTAGTTGAAACAAGTTCTACCCTTAGGCGGCCAAGGTTCAAAGCTGATTGGGTAGAAGTATATATGCGCAATTTATTCGTATTTTGCAGCGATGGTGTGCGGGGAGAGGTCCTCGTGTCTTTCAGGCACAGTCCTTCTCGCCTGGTTGGCAGGGGACTCATGTCGGCGTAAAAGCCTAGACCTCTGGAGAGTACAGCCCACTTTAAGCCCTATTGGGGCTGTTTCCCCTCTTTATTCAACATCCTTAGCAACGACCTACCAGATTGATCCCGTTTAGGAAGAAACATTTGGGATCCTAAACCTTTTTCTCGCAAAATGTTTCATTCGTTTTACCCTTCCCATCCCACGGGAAGTCCATATGCGGTTTCAGAACTAAGAGTATGGCTTTGCAATAGCTTATATCCTAAAGCGAAAGGCCATCTGAGAGAAAGAAATCTCACACTCTTGTGTTATCAAGATATCATTCGGCAACTCATATACTTCTTAAAAATGGCTTCTAGAATTCTCGACCGAAGTCCGATTCACTGCCTTTTTGAACAAAAGCCAGCAATTGGGACATTCGGCCTTGGGTCTTGTTCTGTTGTTATTATAGCATCAGTGCATGACATAACCTTGGAGTCCTGGACCATATACCACCACTGGCTTTAGGGGTAACACAAGACCTACATGAGGGTGACAGAAACGTCAGCTCCATGATGGAAAGAATACACCAACTCTATACTCATTACAGTAACTACTTTCCATCCACCAATACGAAAGTACTCTACGCCTGGTACGGAGAAAGTCTGGCGTTACCAAGCCAAGTGGCCATTATGACACAGTCTCTTCAGGTGATGGGTCTCGTTCCGGTTATCAGATATTATCAAGTTTCCGTTGATCGAGGTGTTCCTAGTCACGGCACTGTCGTTGTTACAAGCGGGCGCAATGTTGTATCATGATAATTTGAGTCAACCGGAGTTGTGAAATTATTAAAGAAAGTACATTAGATATCAATTCGACAATTTACCTACGATCTATTCTTCAAAACAAAACAATGATCACGTACAGTTTCAAATATCTAGTCAGAATTATCATGATTCATAATGCATTGAAATATGGTTAAAAGAATGGTTCCAAATCAGTACACCGTCAAACAGCTCACGGCGCCATTCTTGAGAACTTCAAATAAAAGCCCCGGGAATCCAAAAAGCTCGGTGTTGCCTAACCCCCCATCCTGGCCATCGGCACCACTCCGAGTGCTTTTGGCTGTGCTCTCCTCCCAGCCACCGAGGAACTCAACACTGCTCTCAGGGCTGTCTCCCCAACCACGGTTCAGGACCATCGGTCGTTGCAAAGCACGCTCCTCGGCAGCGCTAGTGTAAGATCCTTTCCAAGTAGCACGCAGCCGCTCTGAGACTTCATCATAGGGCGACTCCGAAGTCAAACAGTCCCCAGATTCATCCAAATGTATTAACCAGCGACTTCGGCGGTGACGATTAAATGGATAAGAGCCTGGGACGTTCCCGTGGAGAATAATCTTTGTCACTGTCAGCTGGGAAGATGCTGGCTGAGGCGATGGATCTGGAAGGCCTGAAGCGGGGAAAGCAGGTCCAGGTGCTGTCGGATACGAGATGAAGGCATCAAACCCATGGTGGAAATAGTTCAAAAAGCATTCTGCGGGCAGTGAGGTAGGATCTCCAATATTAAAAGTAGCCATCTCCTCGTCAGAATCATCAGTTACGCTGTTAGTGGATGAGTGGTCGGCGTCCGGAATGTCCATTCCTCGGCCCGGAGAGGGACTCGGATGCAAATCTCCGGGCCCCGTTGCACGATGAATCGAGATTCGGCGGTCATTCTTACGGTAGATTGCGTCGGGCGGACCGAAATCTGCAATCAAGTCCTGGGGAGTCGTCTCTCCTAGTGTTATGTACAAGGGAGAACTCGTCCTGCGAGCCACTTCAAGTTTCCCAGCTCCAAGCACATGCCACTCCTCGATTTCATCCGCAAGCGATTCTCGAGATTTGCCAATCAAAGCCGACGAGCGCGGGTACTGTGCCTGTTGTGTGAAGAGCTTGGCTCGGACCTCAGGCCATGATGAACCTTGAAAGATTGACATAGATGTGGCTGGAAGAGCAGCCGAAGAAGATAACAACGCTACAAAATCACACTGGTCGGACCAGGCAGAATGCTGAAGAGGAAACGAGAATGCAACTCCGGGATACGAAAGCACGTAGGTGCCATATGGCGACTGTGGATCTGCCGGTGGTACGTATTCTCCTGGGTATGAGGGACCAAACAGGCGATTGTAAACGTGCCGGAAGCTGGGGCCGTGCGAAGACAGGGATTGTTCTGTTGACTTCACACCTTTGAGCACCTCCTGGCTTTTGTATACCAGGTTTACTCGAGAGAAGTCAAGGACTTCGATCAAGCGGAGTCTCTGGTCAGGACCGTCAAATCGAAGGCGTAGGCCATTTGAGGGTAACTGCAACACCACTGGCTTGCGAAGCGGATCTGCGGTTGAGTAGGCTAGGTCGATGGCGGGGTAGGTTTGGGGATAGGACTTGACGCGGGTGAGGACATTATGAAGCGAAGCTCCCAGTGCTTCCAAACTATTAGCGAGGGTCACTGAAAAGGCTGTGGGGATAGACAAAGGACATACTGACAAACCCGAGTCCTTTCCCAGGGAATATTTGCGCCTGCGCTGGGGAAATAGAAGTAGTCATAGTGGTCTGTCCGTTTTCACGGCCCGGCAACGATGGGCGCACAAAATTCCATGCAATTTTCGATCTCGGTAGCTGTGCTTATTAGTTAAACAGGGGAGGTTGGTAAGATGTAGGGGATGCCCACATGGTACATATGAGGGGGTAGATAGAGAGAGCGATAAGAGGGCGATGACGATGGCGCAGCCGACCGAGTCATGTGAGAGGGGGAAATGACTAGATTATGTAAGCTTTGTTTATGTTTTCCCATTTGAGACGAAGCTCCACTGATATACACAACCCTGAAAGACCCCGATACAGCTAGTGAAAAGATCAAATCGACTTTCAAACTACTCAACACTCGAATATTACTGCTAAAGAATACCGCAACTACACTCCGAGTATCGTCACATTGTCAACATGGTTGGCCCACCAAGGCCCCCGTCCACCCTCCCTACCACGAGGAGGTCGGGTTTGCGCCAACCGGTTCGACGAGCAGGTTCCGCAGTCCCCGAACGTCATGCACCACCTGCAGTGCCTACGCCATCAGTGAGGTTCTCTGCAATGAGTGCTGCGCGTGCTATGAGGAGCCCTGAAAAATCGAGCGCCGCAAGCAAGAGGAAGGAGAAGGATTTTGAGCGGGAAATCAACGAGGACACAAGTATTCACGTGGTGGTCCGCTGTCGTGGCCGCAGCGATCGCGAGATCAAAGAGAATAATGGGGTAGTCTTGTCAACACCAGAAGGTGTGAAGGGCAAGACCCTCGATCTCTCGATGGGACCGAACGCAGTTTCAAACAAGACATATGCTTTCGACAAGGTCTTCTCCCCGGCCGCCGATCAAACTACTGTCTACGAGGATGTGGTTGTGCCGGTGCTCGACGAGGTTTGTATATTCAACGCGCATGAAATCGGAAGATCGGGCTAATTCCTTACAGATGTTGGCAGGTTACAATTGTACAATCTTCGCATACGGACAGACTGGAACAGGAAAAACATACACCATGTCAGGAGATATGACCGACACATTGGGCATCTTGTCCGACGATGCAGGAATTATTCCACGTACCCTTTACGCTCTGTTTCACAAACTCGAGGACACAGAAAGCACGGTGAAATGCTCCTTCATTGAACTTTACAACGAGGAACTCCGCGATCTTCTGTCATACGACGATAGCACCAAGCTCAAGATTTTCGAAAATGAGAAGAAGGGAGGACACAGTACAATGGTTCAGGGCATGGAGGAGACCTACATCGACTCTGCGTCTACCGGAATCAGATTACTCCAAATGGGTAGCCACAAACGCCAAGTTGCAGCGACAAAATGCAATGACCTAAGTTCCCGGAGTCATACAGTTTTCACCATCACCGTTCTCACAAAACGTACGACCGAATCTGGCGAGGACTATGTTAGCTCTGGCAAGTTGAACCTGGTTGATCTCGCGGGTAGCGAAAACATCGGACGGAGTGGTGCAGAAAATAAACGGGCAACAGAGGCAGGTCTCATCAACAAGAGTCTACTCACTCTTGGGAGAGTGATCAATGCTCTTGTGGATAAGAGTTCGCACATTCCTTATCGAGAGTCAAAACTCACGAGACTGCTACAAGACTCACTTGGAGGACGAACAAAAACATGTATCATCGCCACTGTTTCACCTGCCCGCAACAACCTAGAGGAGACCATTTCTACTCTTGATTATGCCTTCCGAGCCAAGAACATCCGCAATAAACCCCAGATTAATTCCATCATCTCCAAAACCAAGCTTCTACGAGATATCGGGATGGAAATTGAGAAGCTCAAGAGCGAGCTCATTGCTACCCGACATCGCAATGGCGTCTATATGACGCCTGATGCATACGAAGAAATGACGATGGAAAGTGAATCGCGGAGAATCGTCAATGAAGAACAACGTGCCAAGATCGAGTCCATGGAGTCAAGCCTTCGTCACAAAGTCCAAGAACTACTCTCTATCACGGGCAACTTCAACTCATTGAAGCATGACAATGAGGAGACTCAGTCCAAACTCAAAGAAACGCGCGAGGTTCTTAATGAGACAGAAAAGTTTTGGAAAGATACCCAGGAAAAGCTGGATGAGGAGAAGACTGTGCGAAAGGCCCATGAGAATACGGAAAAGCAACTTCGTCATATCGGTGCCGGCCTGGTGACAACTTTAAATGGCACCATTCAAGACGTGAATGGACTGCACGCGAAATTGGATCGCAAAGACAACTTGGAGACTGATAACCGGAAAACCTGGCAGGCCTCAACCGGCGAAGTATCGCATATCACACAACAGGTCGACGCTCGTATGCAGCTCTTCCAGACGCAACATGCGAAGCTACTGCAGGATATGTCTAGCAAAATTCATCAATTTGTGGGCCATGAACTAGACACTGTGCAGTCGACCCGCTCTCAACTCAAGGACATTGATGCCTCCTTTAACAAGGTCGAAGCAGAGGCGAAGAACAACACTTCCACTGCCCACAACGAGATGAATGAAGTTCTCGGGGAGATCAAGGTTCTTCGAGAAGAAGTTAAGTCCAAAGTTGGCGAAGGCCTGAGCGGCTTGTCAGCTGCTGCTGCTCGGATCTCTGAAGAGGTTGTTGGGGAATTCTCAGAGTTCCACTCCGAGCTACACTCATCATACAGCACACTCGGCAAAGACTTCAAGACCATGTTTGAGGATATGGCAAAACACCTCGATGAACAGAAATCCGAAGTCCACAAACTACGTCTTGAGCTGCAGGCAGCTAACCGCCAGACGGTGGAGGCAAATAGAAAGGCTTCATCCAACCTTGCACAAGTTTTGGAAGAGGAACATGCGAACGCACAAGCCGAGCGTGAAACTCTCATTTCTCATATCCGGGGACTCCTTGAGGACTCAAATCATAAACAGAACAACCGCCTCAAGGGCAAATTTGATGCGCTGCGCACTGAGATCTCTACATCATGTGACTCTCTTGAGCAAGCGACTGCGCAGCACGATAGACATGTTGATGAATGGATCTTCAAGGAGGAACGGTTTGCAAAGGATGTTATTGCGTCCAAGGATGAAATCAAAACCAGGATGCAGAATGATTGGGAGGTGAGACCAACTGACATCTTTGGGTTCCGAAATGAAACTAACGCCAGCAGACTTTCGACCAGCGCAATGCCTCAATTCACCGGGCAACAGAGTCTGTGCACCAAGAGACTGTGCGGATTGTTGATGCTCAAATGAGCGACATGGACACACAAATGGAGGCTTTGGATGACTTCGTTGCCAAAGCACGGTCCCAGAATGGCCACTTCCATCAATCACACCTAGGCAGTTTGAATGCTATGGCTAAGAATGTCCGAGAGTCCCGCTCGAACGTCTATGGGCAACTCGACGGGTTCAGTGGACGTGTCGAGCAACTCCAGGAGGATGTCAATATGCATACCAAGAACCTTGAACAAACTACTGCACCTTTACACGCTGAAGTCCGCCGGCCACTTTTAGAAATGCGGTCCAATATCCAGAGCCGGCCCCTGAAGGAGTATATTTCAACAGGTATAACCCCTCAGAAAAGACGATACGAATATCCTTCGGAAATGCCCCAAACAGAAGCTCACGACGGTCTTCGCACTCGACACCGGACATCCAAGCAGTTTACTGCTTTGCCATTCAGTCAGGAGGAACAACAGGACTCCCCTGCTTCAACTTCGCCCCAAGTGATAGCTTCATCACCCAAGAAATTCGTGTATAGTGATACCCTGGAAGAGGTAGGCCACTCTCTTCCATCATCCGCAGCCCCACCTCCCAACACTGGCCTTAGAGAAGTCGACTTGAACGTCACCAGATCGGTCGGGTCTGATAGCGACGACGTACTACCTCCCAACAAGCCAGAAACCCCCGCGTTAGCCACATCCATAGACCTGGACGAGACGCCAGAAAAGGAAGAGCCAGAACAACCTTCCCGCAAGCGGCGCCGTTCGAATTCAAACAACAATCCCGAAACTAAACCCCCCAAAACCATGCTCTCGAAAAGGATGGCTGTTATGAAGGAGGGTCGCGAAAATATGCCCCCCTCGGCTATCGCCGGTGGCCGAAGATTTAGATAGAAATCGCACCTCTGATTAGGTGGATTCCATGTTATTTTGTGCTCTTTTCTGCTTGTTTTTGCTCTCCTTCCTGACTTTTTTGATACCCGATAGTCGCTGGGCTTTGCACTCTGGTTTGGAGTTTTTGGCTGAGAAAACAGTGTTGGGTTGGTCATTCTCTTGTATCTATTTTTTTTTTGTCTGAGTGCTATAGAAAAGCATTGTGCTTGGCGTTTCTGGGTTGGCTACATTGATATCCCTATAGGATCTCAAATTCGATCAAGGTGAATACCATACTTAATCATCCAGTTTAGATTAGTTCGTCTTGTATATTCAAAGACATTCATGGGATTCATCCGGCACTAGTCTGTTGGTAGACTAGAATCAATATAAACACTGATGCTTTCCCTGTGATGCGCTAAGAGCAGCAATAATAAATCATCAAGAGTGTTCCACTTCAACTTCCGTAGCATAAGCACCACTGTCCTTCTCTCCCTGAACAGTCTCTTCAACTGTGTCTGGAGAGAAGGGATGCTGCATGAGTTCTTCCCCGTCAAGTTCTCCCTTTGAGTCCGCAGCCTCCGCAGCATCGATAACAACCTGCAACTCGCTCATCCGCTTCGCAAACTGATCCATCATCTCCTCAAGTGTACTCTCCTTGTCCTTGCCACCCACTTTAATCGGCAGCCCACCTGTGCCACGGATCTTCAGCATCAACCCATGTCCTGGTGGCTCGCCAGGATTGCTATTCTCAAAAGTGGGCGCCGGCACCACTTCCGTGTGGAGAACCTGCCATGTTGACGAGAAGCTCTGGGCCGCGGTAACACGATACTGCGGGTGTGGCTGTCCCTGATCCTGTGGGATTGTAGAAGCATTAGCCGGTGACGAAGATATGGACCTTATGCCACCCCCGCCTCTGCCTGGCGCTAGTTGTTCGGGTATCGGACTGGTTTGCGCTGCCTCAGGTGTGTATGGTGAAGGCTCTACGTCAAGGATGACATAGTTCTCCCGAACACCTGGAGCGGGCGGCGGAAGTAGGGTGGTCTTGGCTGGGTCTTGGTCTGAAGGGTCTTTGATCTCATCCTGGAGATTGGATGCTTGGGTCTGCGCGATCTGTTCCTTCTTGGAATCAGAGAGGGCTTCTTGCTGCGCGGCCAAGCTGCGTAGAGCTGCCTCTGTTACAATTCCGGTATCATCATCGGAGAATATGTAGTGGACTGTTGGGTGGTGGTAATCTGACGTATGGGCGTCTTCGATCAAGGTAAAGAAAGGCTGGAATGCGGGGTGAGATAGAGGCTGTTCTTGGCCTTCCTCGAGATGGTCTCCTGTTTCATCCAGAACTGCATCGTGGGAGGGCGATACAATTGTTTCTGGGTGTTGATGAGTTTCATCTGTTGATGTGCGGCCTTCAGGCAGTTGGGCTCTTGGCTGTTGTCGATCACTCGGCCGCGAAGACGCGGTGCCTGGTCGAGAGAGTGTGTCTTTGTGCAGGGACTGCCGGGATGAGGAAGAGGACAGGGGAGGATGATAGGGAGAGTTGTTCAAAGACATCTCCGTAAGCCAAGGTTACATCATTCTGAAGAAGAGCTTGGGATAGGATGAGGTTCTGTAGCGCGTGCGGAGAGCTTCTTATCGATAGCGCCACGTGACGATCAGATGAGCAGTGACAACAGCCAGTATAGTTGACCTATCAAATGACTTAAAACATCAGTATTACTATATAGGATGTTGATGCTATTCTTCGATTTTTGATGATAGGAGGTGGTTGTGCAGACTGCTTGGACGTAGTGTAAGTTGACCTTCTACCTAGGTAGTGCTCCGAGTAGCAAAATATATATCTATACATACATGAGTAGTTATCAGAGATCGAACTGTATAAATTATATGCCTTGACAATCCAAGCCACTGCAGTATACATTAAGAAAGGCAATTATACATGAACAGAATTTGATCGAGTAAGAATAGCCATTGAGTTTGAAAAATGAAGTATGAACATGGGTCCAATCCCGTCTATAGATCAGTATCAGTCTCATTCCAACCACAGCATTGTTTTGATGCCCAATTGACACCAAGGTCACAGCTACTCTTCCAATCCAACTTCGCATGCCCAATAAAACACAAATGGGTATCTTGAATTCGTCCGACAACGCCTTGATAACCACGGAGAAAAAAAATACAAATTAGGCCGTTATTCTTTGTCCTTCCATTCGAATTCTGGAGAGAGTTAGCTCCATATCACACAAGCAATGCAGAAAAGCATACTTTGTCGGCACATTGGACACAATCCCTTGGAAGACTCCAGATCAATCCAGGTCATCAAGCAATGCTGTTAAAAGTGTTGGTCAGTCCAGACCTAGTTTATATGCGCACTCCGCAATCGTACCATATGAAACGCGTGGTTACACCTTCCTTGCACTATAATTGTATCGCAGTCAGTATGAAGCATGGAATTGGAAGTAGAAAGGTCACACACCAAGCGCGCAGTCATCGCCGGGGAATTTGCAGGTTGGACAAGTGCCATCGAACTGGACACGACAGATACCACACACTTCATCCTCGGGAATATTCCAGTGCCAAGTAGCAACGGCATTCCATTCTTTAATGGTGACCTTCATTGTGAAGTGGGATAGTGGAGAGCTAATCTGAAAGAGGTGAAGAGAGGGAAAACGGTCAACAATGTTATCTCTTATCATCTTATCACATGTTCTCCGCACCTCCACATATGCCGCCATAACACGCAATCGTACTCCTCTTATTGCTCTTTTTAGCTCTCTCTGTTCTTACTCGTGGTTGGTCTTGGTTTTTGACATTTCCCAAGGCTTTGATACCTCGTTATGTAAATTGGATTTTAAAAGGTTCCTTTTCTCCCACTATGGCTTTCGCAGCCAGATCCTTTGCTCCTGCTCGTCTCTTCCGCCCCAATATGTCCATCTCTACAGGGATCCGTACTCAGCGCAATGTCTCTTTTTCTTCGTATCTAGTGACACCAAAGCAGCTGAATGAAGCACTCAAGAAGAATCCCACGACAAAAATCTCAACTTCCCCGCGCGTCATTCCCCTCTGTGCAGCATGGTTCATGCCGAACGACCCGGAGGGTCGCAAGGGCATTGACTCATTCCGTAACTCGCGCATCCCTCAGGCTCAATTCTTTGACCTTGACGCTATTAAGGATCAAGATTCACCCTATCCACACATGCTTCCCACTTGCGAGACTTTTGCCGAGGCCATGAGCGAGTTGGGGATCCGTCGCGATGATTCGGTGGTGGTTTACGATACTGCCGACCTGGGCATCTTCAGTGCGCCCCGTGTAGGCTGGACGCTGCGCGTCTTCGGGCATCCCAATGTGCATATACTCAATAACTACCGTCTCTGGGTCAAAGAAGGTCTCCCGACCGAGAGCGGCGACCCAGCAGTGGTGGAGAAGTCTAAATACCCAGTTCCAACATACGACGCGCGACTAGTGATCTCATTCCGTGAGATGAAGGAGTTGGCCTTGGACTATGGCAAAGAAGGTGCAGAGGAAATAGAGATCCTAGATGCACGTTCCTATGGCCGCTGGGCTGGAACTGAACCGGAGCCGCGTCCTGGCTTGTCATCGGGCCATCTTCCTGGCTCCAAGAGCATGCCCTTCCAAGAACTACTGGACCCTGAAACAAAAGCCTATCTTCCCGCCGAAGACCTGCGAAAGGTCTTTGAGGACCACAAGGTGGACCCAAACCAAACAATCATCAGCTCATGTGGTACTGGCGTAACTGCCTCCATCATCGAGACAGCCCTGAGTGAGGCGGAATATGGCGACCCAAACCTACGTCGGGTATATGACGGAAGCTGGACGTAAGTATACAAAGTTTCCCCCTTATAATTTCTACTAGTACTAATATGAATATCAAAACCAGTGAGTGGGCGCAACGAGTTAAGGAATCGGATGGCCTCATCAAGAAGGTGAAGTCATAGGTTCGGGATGATGGCACTGGAACCTTTTTCTCTTGAACATGATTCTTTTTATTTCCCTTTCCTTTCTCTTTCTACTCTTAGACTGTATCCTTTTTTTCAAATATATAGAAACCCTCACTTCTCTCTTTAAACTCGGTCTGTTCCTGAAGCACGCTTAGTCAGCATATTTCCATCTCTGCCCATCGCATCATTTCCCAGAGGTGCGTTTCTTTGGCCCCAGGCATACTGTATTCTTACAAAGATGCTGCAGATGGGAACATCTTGTCAACTGCCTTCTCATCGTGAGTGAAAATCACGGTTCCTTCAACCGACATCCCACTACTCCCCTCCCCCCACATTCCCATGTCCCTCCATCATCAAACCTCCTTCCTCAACTAGGCCCGTGCTGACCGGCCCCGATTCAGTCGCGGTTGTCTACACTTCTAGTCTTCCGATATAGGGCGGTATTTGCCCTGTATCTCTCACTCACTACGCACGAACACACGAATACACTCGTTCAATATCCGCCATGTCCACCGGACGCAAGGTCTTCCACTGTGCCGTGGACGAGACGGCCCTGTCCACCAACATTAGCGAAATTAAGAAATGGACCGCTAATGGAGCTATCGATCTTGTGGTTCCTCTCTACAGTGAGTATCTGAATGCTGAAGAGACTTTGATTGCGTCTAGCGCTTGCCGGTCTAACCATTATCCTCCGATTAGCACTTGAACGACTTCATGCGCTGAAGCGAGCGGGATCGCAGGTCGCCATCAACGCCCGTGAGGCAGTCCGATTTCTCGATCGCGTTACTTCCGGCAAAGATCACATCGCCGCCAACCGAGTTGTCCTTCAGGGCCCCATGGAGCAGTACGAGCGCTGGGAGGAAGCCGAGAAATTCTTCCTGCCAGAATTTGAAGAGGAGCCCGAGGTAATTGACGAGGTACTTACCAATGGCAAGCCAGCGATCGAACCCAGTGCCGATGATACCTTAGCCAAGAACGAACCGGATGATCTGTCGCAGATGCTCTTGTCGAAGTTGAACTTCAAGAAGGACCCGGAGGCTGTTTCGATCACCTCCGTTGGCACTCCCAGTGGACCTGGATCGCGCACTTCCTCGCGCAGCTCCCGTACCAGCCCCGAGTGCGCCCAGCATGAGTCTCGCAATGGAACGAAGAATGATAAGATCAAGAGCAAGTCTTCTAGCCATCAGCGCACCATCTCCGGATCCGTCATCCCGACCGCGCCGCCCGCTCTGCGCCCATTGTTGAGTGCTCTGCTCTGGCGGTTGCATACCGGCCCCGATGCCGAGAACTCTGCCAAGACCTGCATTCTCATCACCAATGACCGTGCGACCCAGGTGTGGGCTCAGAAGTTTGGAATTGGTGTCAAGAACATTCTGCAGCTACGCACCGCTATCCAGTACGAGGAGCGCGAGTACAAAAACCGTTGCAAATATGTCGAGAAAACTCAGACCCAACCTGCTGAACCGAAGACCTTATTGTCCTACGAGGAAGAAAGCGACGAAGATGAGCTAGTATTCGTCCCCCGTGGTCGTGGAAAAGGAACTCCCCGAGGCGCCTCGCGTGGTGGAGGTCCGCGAAAGGCTGCCCCTAAGACTGCGCCACCTCTCGTTGAGCCTGTTTCTACCGTGGAAGTTCCTACCAAGCCCATCGACCCGGACTCTTTCAGTCGGTCTCTGGGCGGTGCAACTAAACCAAACACTGTAGACTTGAGCAACCAGCAGGGTGCCGCCGGTGCCACCGGTGCCCCTCGCGGTAATGCTGGAGGCTCTCGCCGCTCATCCAATGGTCGCCGTGGTGGGTCTTCGCGCGGTGCACGAGGCAATGGTCGTGGTCGTGGTAAACTCTGGGTTCCTTGATTCGTACGAGCAGAACGGTCTACTCCCTGTCATCTCTTGACGACAGTAGACTGGAGTGTTTTGTGAACCAATGCATCTAGGACAGGACAGGGTGTCTCTTTTCTCTTTGCAGGACTGCAATAACCCCCCCAATGTGGGGATCTGCATCTGGATCTGTCTTGCTGTGATTGCCCGCAGAGTGTGCTTTTCCCTCTTCCCCCGGCATAAATCATCCCAGAATCCCGGCATGATCGGATCTCGGACATGAAAGGACATGAATCCCCTGGTGGATTCAACCCGCGGCTGTGATGCGCTGCTTGGATATGTCTACTTCGGAAAACCTATGCCCCCCCTTTTTCCCTTTTCACCCTTTCCTTAGGAGACGGAGATGGGAGATCGTCAAATTGCGGAGACGTTGAGACGGTTGCTTTTTTTTTTTGCGCTGGGAAATGGTATGACAGTGGATTGTATTTTTCTTTTTATGATCTACTAGTATCCCAGATTATCCCAGATTATCCCAGTGAATTCCATTACTTTGATTTTTTGCCCTGTATAGATTCAATTTATGATGTAGATGTATAGACCCGCCGCTTTCCCCGCGTGATTGTCCCACAGGAGATCACTTGACTTTCGCCTCTCTTAATTACTTCATTCCTCCACTGATTTCACTTCTTAACAACACACTTTTGAATATTATTACTTGCTACAATGTCTTCCGTCGAACAGTCCCTTCCCCCGACCCACGAGCGTCGCAACTCGCTGGAGAAGCACCTCCAAACCCGCCCGGAAGTGCAGGACCTCAAAAACCGCCACATCCTGCTGGACACCAATGTAGCTCCGTGGGTGTTCCCAGGAATAATTCCAGTCTCATGGTGAGATATGATGGTTAACACCAAAAACAGAGCCCTTCAATCTGCCCGCCAGGAGCTTGACCGTCAGCGAGCTTCAGACAGTCTGAAGAAGAACCTGGAGAAGAGGCCTGAGAAGGACGAGCTGGTTGAGCGTTTGTTTCCCTATTTCATTTTCATTCTCCTTTTGATTTTTATCACTTATCATTTTCTACATTTGGTACCTGAGATTGGTACCTGAGATTACTCTCAATATACTAACAACCCGCCAAGGTAATATCCTCCCCGCAACCACCGCCGCCCCAGCGCTCCAGGCCCACGCCCGTGAACTCGAGAAGCACATGCTAGCGGATAACCTCGAGCATAAGATTCAGAACAGACCACAACCCGAAGAACTGATTTCCCAGGGTATTCTCTCTGAAGATGAGAACCCACGCTCGCCTGTCTAATTTTGGCCTTGTAGAGTGAACATTGCCACGGCTTTGTGCTCTTGGTGCTATGAGATATGGGTGACATGATGATTGTTTTACGAGGGCGTTTTTCTTTTTTTCTTTGATTCTCACAATTGGAAATGCTTCCTCTTTTCTTTTTCCTACACCTAAGGTGTTTCTCCAACATCCGGTTTCTACTGTCTTTACCGTTCTGAACTAGTGATGTCACCGTGACGCTATCAGTATAGCAATGTCAATATGGAATTTGGGATTCCCTACATTTTGTAGGAATAAGTCACTAATGAGGGGATATTTGGGCATAGAAAGAGTTATTCAAATTAGATAGGTATAGATAGTTATTGGTATATCGAAAGCCACGTCCTCGAACCATAACATACTACATGTACAGCTGTCATTCAAAGCCATTGATCATTGTTGGATACCTCATGATACGTAGTTGCTTTTTAGTACGATGGCACCTCCACTGCGCTCGACAGATCAGGCGTCCACCCACTTGGTCTCTCACTCCCGCGAACGACAATCCCATACGCCGCCCGCTCAACCTTCTCTACACTGTTCTGCATCACGTCCATCTTCTTCTCCATATCCCGGAACATGTAATGCCGCTTTGGAAGACTGAGCGCCTCAAAGCCTGCTCGCATAGCACGTAGATCAACCACGATACCACCCTGTGAAGCGACCGTCGATTTCTCGCCTTCGCTTGCTGTGTTCTCGATCACCTTGGTAGCAGTTGCATTGCCGGAGCTCAGAGATAGAACTGCGAACCGCATCATCTCTCCTGTGAGATCATATAGCCCCATTAGGTAGTCTTCTTCGGAAACGAGGATTCCCGATGGAACGCGGGCGGAGCACTCCGCGTGGGTGATTAGCGTTTGTGTGCGTAGGTAGTGATCGAAGGAGACGGCTTCGATGAACTCTTGGATTCCGCCGCTAATTTGGCGCTGGTATCGCCAGCCATTGATGCCTAGTTGTTCGGGGACAACGGCTTCAAACAGCGCGTGGATTTGGTCGAAGCGGGTTTGGTTTTCTTGGGCGATTTTGGGAGGGAGGGGTTGGTTTGTTGCACGGACTCGTTGGAGGGCGAAGATGCTAGAGCGATCTCAGTTAATGGTGCTTTTCTTTGGCTGGAGGTGGAGGGGCATACATCTTCTTGCTCAGGGCGGTGATATCGCGGCTTTTCTTGATGATACGCTCGCGGCGATCATGGTGCTCGTCCAGCTCGTCGCGGAAGTTCTCGAAGATTGACAGGATTGAAGGAGCTGGCTGTGTTTCTGTTTCTGCTTCTGCCATGATTGTATCTTGAGGATTTAGTTCGAGTGGCTGGCCTTCCCAGTCGCGTTTGGTACCCATTGGCAAAAAGTTGGAGGTTGTTAAGTTCAGATCTCCCGATAAGATATGAGATTATCTTGAAATGTTCACCTAGTTCTTTCTACCTCAGGTTTTCTCCAGAGCTGTCGACCTTTTCTCTATTATTATATCGTACACCTATTAATATTTACAGTTATGTTTGGAATTTGAAATGATTATGCTGATTGAAATTCTCTTGCCCAATGCTATGCAACATATATAGTAGCCACTCATGCAACAACCTCGCAGGATTCTTGTCCCAGGTACCGGTACTTCAGAGGCTCACTTCCAAGACCAGTAACTACCACTGTCTGCTCATCACCAGGTACAATGTCAATAGCATTGTCCCCAAGCAGTACACCCTCTTGCTCCTCGAAAACAAGACACTTGACCGGCTTGCGGGCATTGATCACCAACACCGTCTCACCGGATTTCGATGTCTGCCTCTTAACCTCTACCTGTCGCGCGGACAAATTGAGATACTTCAATGGCTGTGGCCAGTCGACATCCCGTGCTACAACCTGGTTGCCCACCCACAACCGGGCGGCGAGGACATGTGGTTCTGGCTCGGCGATGTGGTCGAGAACACCATCAGTGATGATATTTGTGGTGCCATTGGCAGTAATGGTGATGTCTTCGCGCACAATCGGAGGCCGGATATCGCGACCTGTGTTGACGGAAAGGAACCGCAGCTCGATGCTGCCTTGAACGGTCTCTGGTTGATTGCTGGCGATCCAAAGCTCGTACTTGCTGGTCTTGGGTGGCTGGGCGTGTGCCACGCTCCAGTCGTGGTGCTCACGTCGGACACCGACGGCGATCGGGTTTAAGACACGCTTGACGGCGTAGTATGCTGGCTTCGGCTTGAGGAAGTAGTCCACGATGGCCCATGAGATTGTTGGCCAGCAGTCGTTCAACTGCCAGAGCAGTGCGCCACCGCAGTGTCGCTCGTCGCCCCATTGTCGGCGCCAGCCTCGGTAGCCAAACATCATGGTCTCTGCTTGTACAACTTGGGTGAGATAGATATAGGTCTAGATATGTTAGCCTGCATCGATGGTTATCGGGATAGTAGTCATACCTCGAGATCTGTGGCGCTCCGTAGATTCTCTACAAGATAAGTTGCCAGTCTCCGTTCGTGACCGTCGGCCTTGTTGTGGAAGTCGATAACGTGGGATTGAGGGAACATATCCTCTGGATTCTCGACGAAGTATTCGATGGTAGACAAGTGGGGGAATGCCTCCATTCCGAACTCGCTGTTGAACCGACCGCCGAGAGTATCGAAGATTTGGTACTTCTCCTGAGTTCCATGCCACACTACTCTAATGATTAGCGTAAGAACTCAAAGTATGGTAGAAAATACTGACCGTTCCACTGGTGCATATCACCAACAGTGGTGTCTGACGATATCTTGCCATCTCCCCAGGGGCTTCCAGGGTGGTAGAATGTGCTAGGTGAGTATTCAGCCACCACTTCTGGGAGCAGCTTCTCATAAATGTATCGCGCCGGGAAATCGGTTTTCAACCAGCTCTCTGGATCTTTGTCCTCGTAGTTGTAGGTCAAGCCTTCTGACTCTGCAACCTGATAATCTTCGTTGTTGCCTGCATAAAGCACAATCGAAGCATGATGGCGGATACGCTCCAGATTGTAAATTGTCTCTTGACGGACGGATTCGAGCATCTCGGGCCATGTGGGATAATTGCCGCATCCAAACATGAAATCTTGCCAGACTAGCACTCCCAGTTCATCGCAGGCATCATAGAAGGAGTCCTCTTCATATATACCACCGCCCCAGACACTTTTTTTTGAGGTTAGCTAAATCCACATAAACCCCGAACCAAAACAGAAAAACAAAACTTACCGAATCATCACTTGTCTACCAGCGACCATAAGCTCAATCCACTTGCGGTAGCGCTCAGCGCTAATAGCAGGGAGCAGACTGTCCGCCGGAATCCAACATGAACCACCGCAGAAAATGTCCATTCCATTAATTCGGAAGAAAAAGGATTTGCCATGCTTGTCTGGTTGTTGAACTACCTCGGCGGTCCGGATACCAAACTTCTTGGATGTCTGGTCAACCTGTTCATCATTGCGAAGTAGCGACACTGATACTTCGTACAGAGTCTGCTCGCCATATCCGTGGGGCCACCACAGAGCCGGCTGTTCGACTGGGAATGTTACTTGAACGGACTTTCCAGAAACTGGGACAGTCTCGCTTGCAATCTCGGTCCCTTTTAGGCTTAAGTTAAACTGGGCCGTATATTCCCCCGCACCGAAGCTCTCCACATCAATGACGGCAGTCACCTCAGCTGTCTGGTGGTCTTCAGAGAGCTTAGTTTGGGGCCACAGATTGGCCACGCGGGCCTGATACACCTCGAAT